ATAAACTACAATTATTGAAAAACTACCCTCATGATTGAATTATCGACCCTGTTAGGTCTTAGGCTTGGGTTGACCAAAATTAATGAAATTTGACACAAATTTTTTTTGTATAGTTTTGAACAAATTCCGAGGGTAGCCTGTTCAAATTTAAAAAAATGAAAATTAAGGACCACCCTAATATACAGGTAGCCCACCACTCACTGACAACTTAAATAACTTTTGATCCAGTTAATATTTTCAGCTGATTTCTTTTTTAAATATTAGTTAGACGTTAGGTCTATAGCTATATCTCAATAATTAATATTTTTACATTTTATTAAAAATATTAATTATTTTTAAATTTTAAATAAAATGTAAAAAAAAAATCTAAGATATATATCTAAGATATAATAATATTCAGTAGTAAATATTCTGTAGCGTTTTGAAGTTTGTAAAAATTTGAATTTTCATGTACTATTTTACGGTTATAAACATTGAAATACGTATTGAGAAAAGGACAGAAGAAAACGCTATCTTTTCATGATTACTGTGTATACATATGATGATAGTGTGTATACATTACAAACTTGGCATAAATACCATGATAAGAAATTAGATAAGGCAATTATTACTTATCACTCTCATTCAAAAGTATATTGAAAAGATAGCGTTTTCTTCTGTCCTTTTCTCAATACGTATTTCAATGTTTAATACCGTAAAATAGTACATGAAAATTCAAATTTTCACAAACTTCAAAACGCTACAGAATATTTACTATTGAATATTAATAAGATATTTTTTTACTAAAATTTTTCTTAAATTCTACTCTACAAAATAGCTATCTTAAATTTTTTTTTACATTTTATTTAAAATTTAAAAATAATTAATATTTTTAATAAAATGTAAAAAAATTAATTATTGAGATATAGCTATAGACCTAACGTATAACTATTATTTAAAAAAAAAAAATCAACTAAAAATATTAACTGGATCAAAAGTTATTCAAGTTGTCAGTGAGTGGTGGGCCATTCTGTATATATATATTTTTTTTCAGTCACTAATAATAAAAAAAAAAATGAAATATTATTACGAGGTCAACAAGAACAACAACTGCGACCAAGTGTTATAATCGTAGAGTATTACTTTATGGTTATAACCCATAGATCGAATTGCAATAATAACCACCGATACATACCCTCGACTTCTACATATCAAGGTAATTTAATACAAAATTAAGTTCTAAATACTAAAATATAATATATTTATTTATAATGATGATTATTGTAGGACCTGAAGTTATTTCAATAAATAATAACAAACGTAAGTTTGATAAAGACATGGACTTATAGCGTGGAGAACGAACCGGTGACATTTGCTTACAGGCTGAATTTAATTATGAATTGAACATTGAAAATTCTGTAAACGACGAAGTAAACACCAACGATTAATTAAAGTCAAGACACCGGGATTTAATCTAATTCAAACCGCTTTCTGAGGTATGGCTAAAATATATTATAAAAAGATTTTGAATGTATACCCTCGATATCATCAATTTCTTGACGAGGCAAAACCTAATTAATTGACTTATTGGTGGAGTTAGTCTCTGAAAATGTGATTAAATTCGGGCTTGAAGGTACATACAGCGTGCCACACACAATTATTGAAGAAAGTAGGTCTTTTAAAACGTCTGCCCTGACCATTTCTATTTTCACGGACGTATCAAGTAACAACAATGATAAATATCATTGTTGTTATATTAAATATATTTCTCGTTTAATTAGACCTCAAATCACTAAACATTGGATGTCTTTGGCCATATTCAAACATTGTTTCATTGTTGCGCGGGGGTATAACTTGTGTACCGAATTTCGAAGAAAAATTTATTTCATATTCTAAATTCAACACATTTTCGGTGCGCTTTTTAGATACACTAAAATTCATGTCCGCTAGTTTAGATACATTAAGTTCGAATCTTTTACAAGCCGATAAATCTAAATTTTAGTCTATTCATTCGCCATACCAGGAGAAAGATTTAAATTTGGTATTTAGAAAAGGTGTATTTTGCTATGGGTAGATGGATGTCTGGAGTAAACTTTCTCAAACCTCTCTACCCTCAATTGAATAATTTTATAGGTGTAATATATTATTATTGTAATTAATTAAAGAATAATAAAATATTTTTGTCGTTTTAGTTCACCATCAGAAAATCATATTTCTACTCAAGATTATGAACACGCTCAAAATATATGGAAACTGTTCAATCATAAAACAATGAGGGATTATTGTTTATGGTATAATAAACTTGATGTGTTACTTTTATGCAATGTTTTCAAAGCTTTCAGAGATTTATGTCCCATTTTGATGAACATTTTGTGCAGTTCATCTCAATCATGATTATTATTATTATTATATAACAATTATTACTATATTTCCCTCAGATTGCTGTTATATTACATGGTCATGTAACATTTTTGCAATATTGTAGTATTATTACAATAGGATACCAATTTGAAAAAAAATGTTGATAAGCAGTATAAAATTATATTTATATAAAATAATCATTAAACTGTATAAGTTATAAAACAATCTCATAATAATAAGGTACAACATATTTATAAATTTAAAAACGTAATAATAATTGGTTTTAAACGGTTAAAATTAAAATCTCAACACATTCATAATTTTAAAAAAAATTTAAGCTGGTTTAAACTGTTAAAAATGAAACAATAATCTTTAAGTTGTAATATAAACAACTTAATTATACATTCATGTATGTTCTATACTTAACTAATTATAATTTGTGAAGAATGGAATATAAAACTACTTAAAAATATTAAAGTATTATTTGGCTGATTCACATTTTATTATTCAGAAACTTCCATAAGCTAACCACACACCAATATCACAGTCAATTTCTTTTTCAGAAACCATTTCATACTTGACATAAATCCTTATTATATCTGAAAAGTCATTGATTTTTAGATAAATGTGTTAAACTTAAATAATTACAAAACATTGACATTATTAAAATTTATTAAATGATGAATTAAAATTAAACATATGTTCAATATTCGTTTTAACAATTTATTATATTAGATGGAATTTACTAAAAGCTTTAGGAGGTTGAAGGTGAGATTTTATTTTTGGTTTATTTTGAGACTTTTTAGGAAAAGGAGAAAATTTTTCCTAGTTCTGTTTTTTCTCGTTTCTTTCATATTATCAATTTCTGATCAATCTGAAGATTCATGTGCTATTTTTTCTTTGCTTTTTGCTTGTTCATAAGAGTCTGTAAAAAATTATTACATTGAAAAAAGATATTATGGCAGAAAAAATTAAGTAAACTATCCTTTTAATTTAGATATTTTGATTAAAATCACTATCATAAAGAACGCTTCAGAAACCGTACGTCGCATTCGTCACTTAATAAAAATGGAAATTTAGCTGGTTCAAATTTTAAAGTTATTTTTCTCGACTTCAAAGAAACAAAAAAATTTAAATATGTTTAACTTTTTATACTATGTTAATTAGATTGATATAATATTTATGAAAATCAGTGTAATCCCCTTATAATAAAATAAAATACAAAACCTAGAATTTTAACACAAAAATATTATATTTTTGAATACGGTAGCTATTTTCACTGTAAAACAAAATAAAGTCCGAAATTTTTCTTTTTCGTAATAAAGTATATTACATTAGATTTAATTTAAGATATATATAAAAGTGTCAGTATTTCCGGAACACTTTCAAAAATTAAGTTGAAAAAGTTCTACTTTCTATATGCATTTTAAAGATTTGAACCCCCCTTGTATTAAGGGAACTGGTCCGATTAAAAAAAAAAATATGTCAAATTAAAGAAATATATAAATATTATTTCTTATAAAAAAATTGTATTGATTCATACATTTTTCAAAAAGTTTTAACATTTTAGAGTTAAAAATGTAAAATATAAAATCGAGAATTTTCACACAAAAATAGAATACGGTAGTAGCTATTTTCACTGTAAAACAAAATAAAGTCCGAAATTTTTCTTTTTCGTAATAAAGTATATTACATTAGATTTAATTTAAGATATATATAAAAGTGTCAGTATTTCCGGAACACTTTCAAAAATTAAGTTGAAAAAGTTCTACTTTCTATATGCATTTTAAAGATTTGAACCCCCCTTGTATTAAGGGAACTGGTCCGATTAAAAAAAAAAATATGTCAAATTAAAGAAATATATAAATATTATTTCTTATAAAAAAATTGTATTGATTCATACATTTTTCAAAAAGTTATAACATTTTAGAGTTAAAAATGTAAAATATAAAATCGAGAATTTTCACACAAAAATAGAATACGGTAGTAGTGATTTTCACCACGAAGACAAAATAAAGTCCGAATTTTTTTTTTTCCATAATTAAGTATATTACATTAGCTTTAATTTAAGATATATATAAAAGTGTCAGTATTTCCGGAACACTCAAAAGTTAAGTTGAAAAAGTTAATTTTTTTCGAAAAAGTTGTCATTTTGAATCCCTTCCTGTGGACTGGTAAAGTGTTAAATTTATAAAAAAAATATATCAAATGATAGGTAAAAACACCAAGCATCTATACATACATATCATAAGCATTTACGAGGAACGAGGGAAATTTGTTCAATTTTTGAGGGTAATGTCTTCGACTACCTACTATTTGTGATATTTTGACGTATCGTCGAAAGAAATCGGTTCGGTGAGAGCTGAGAAAAAATTGTAACAGACAAAAAACACAGTAAAATTAATATCTTCTCAGATTCGCATCGAAGCTAATATATAATATAATGATTAATTTATGTGTAAAATAATCATTATGAACTTAGAAAAATATTTTTGATTGCTTTAATTTACATAATTATTAAATCTGAAAAAACAAAATAAATATAATACATTAGCTTAAATAATTTATTCACATTATATATAAGTTCATTTTGTCGTACAATATACAATACAATTACATGATTATATGAAATATGTATTACTGGAATAGCAATTGTTTTGTCAGCTACAGTAATAACCTTCATTTTACATTTTATAAGCGGGAACGCGCTTTTGAATATTCCGAGAAGGTAGTGCTCATGGACATAATTACAGAGTACTACAGTGTAATCGAGTCGAAGAAAACGGACGCTATTAGCATGAAAAAGAAAATCACTGAATGGTTAAAAATTGCTGAGGAGTTTTCTACTGTGTCTTCTACATATGCCAGAGACTGCCTCAGTTTAAAAACACTGTGGGACAACCTTAAGAGGAAGGAAAAGTTGGTGATGGCTGCGCAATCTGATAACCAATATGGCACAGGTGTTATAATTACTTTAAACCCACTTATATCATACTATAATTTTTATAATTATTGATCGTTTTCACTAGGAGGAAAAGCAAAATATATAATAGCTGATCCAATACTGGATATAGTGGTGGGGCTCATTCGACCTCATGTCGAACCATTTAATAACATATATGATGACAATTACGAAGAAATTAGTGAAGTCATCATCAGTATGTCTCTATCTATTATTAGATTCTGCACATTAATTACAGCTTATAGTACAATTAATAAGAATTTAAAAATAATTAATGTAGGACATGAACTTGATGACTTAAAAATCATTTAATAATGCTAAAAGCCATAAAAAAATACTTTGAATTTACTTAGTATTTTATCAACTTCATAACACCAAATCAATTTCTATTAATTTTATGAAAATATGAAATTTGAAAAATTGTTATGTCTTTCATTGTCATTCAACAAATATTATGTTCTATATATTTAATAATTATTTACAGATACTATAGATAAAGAACTGGATAATAATGAAGAAGAAGTTGTGACAAATCAAAAAGTAAGTTACTTTTTTTTGTTGTAATAACAGTTGTTTATTATTTTATTTTTTATTTAAAAAATGATTTATTTTAAACTGATAAATTAGTTTTAAATTTATTTACATTAATTTTTACAGAATATTGATGATATTGAACAGAGTATTTCTACTGATTGGTCTCATTATAATCCGTCAATGTTAAAGACTCCTATATCTGCTACTCTTCGCCAGTCTCCACTACCAACCTTCCAGTCACAAAAACAAACATCCAGGCTGCCATCTCTACAAAATATTTACTTTTACACTTAACTTTTGAAAGTGTTCCGGAAAGTCTGGCACTTTTATATATATCTTAAATTAAAGATAATGTAATGTACTTTATTATAGAAAAAAAATTTGACCTCTGGACTTGTCTTCGTGGTGAAAATGGCTACCGAATGCTATTATTGTGTGAAAATTATCGATTTTATATTTTACATTTTTTACTTTAAAATGCTATAGCTTTTTAAAAATGTATGGATCAATACAATTTTTTTATGAGAAATAATATTTTTTACTAATCTCTCTTTCATTCGACATACTTTATCTTAATCAGGATTATGCCACGTCACCACTGTGCCGCGACCCCACTGTGTTGGTTTTTTTTAACATGTAAATTAAAAAATGGATCCGTATTTAAAAATGAAAACTATTCTTTATAGTATTAAGACATGAGCGCATCAATTATTTTTTTACATATGGAAACCAATTATATTATTATTAAATATTTTATTACAAAATTCGAATAATTATTCAAAAATATTTCATATTACAAAAATTATAACACTTTTTATCACTAGATTCAAAGTATTACAAGTATTAAGTATTCCAAGCACTAGTTGCTAACGTAATTTGTTCAAATCTGTGACAAATCATGATTAGACTAGTAAAATACGAGAATAAGGGTCTCACTAGATAAGCTCGTTGGCCACGGGGCGTCACTTTCCCCTTAATTCGGATTGATAATTGGCGATAGAGTTGCAATAACATGTAGTGTTTCTCCCTGCATAAAATTTTTTAGAANATGTAGTGTTTCTCCATGCATAAAATTTTTTAGAACTTTTTATCTTTTAATATAATATTGTATAAATAATATTAATATAATAACCCCCTAAAAATTCGTTTTGCGTTAGAAATTAAATAAGAATATTTTACAAATATTTATATTCATAGGCCAATAACATTATCTGCACTCATTTTCACATGTTTATTTGCAGTTTTGTTTCTATGATTACATAACTTATTATTTAATAATCAACATTGTTTCTAAGAAAATAACTGCACTCCGTAATTTTACTTCCTAACAAATTTTACTAGATAATTAATTTTTTCAAATTTTTTGGCAACATTTGATTAAATTGATAATAATTTTGTAGAAATGGAATGCGTGAGTGATTTTGAAGAACCGTTATTATTTGAACACAACGCATTCTTTCCATCTATGGGAAGAACAAATCTCAGGTATCCGCCACCGTTGCCTGTTGAAAACGAGCCTGGCCGGAATAATATCCCACCAGCGCCAATAAGTCTTACAATAAAAAAAAATGAAATGTTCCTGATGCTTCAATGGGAGATGGAATTAAAAAAACGCCATGAGGATATTTGTTATTATGAACTATATTATTGGAGTAATCTTTATGAAAACTCTCCCCACTGGATTCTCATAAATAATATTGCATCATCTTCAAATCCAATGCAATACTTTTTAACTGGATACATACCAGGATACAAGTACTATTTTGCTGTGAGAGCCGTTGATATTTATGGCAGACGTGGCCATTTTATCAAAAAACTCATAAGACTATAAATATCATTATTATTAATACATATAATGAAATGGATAATTTTTCTTTCTTTTTTTGGTCAACATATTATTTTATTTAATATTTAAATTATCAAAAAAAATGTGTTTCTAAATATCTAATACACAATTCTTCGAATTTCTTAATTATATTTTCAAATAATTATTTAAAATTTTGTCGTAAAACATTCGACCATAACTTTATGTATTTTCAGTTATTATTTTATGTCAATATTTAATAAAATAATTTTCATGTATTGAATAAGCATATTAATGAACGAAGAAATAATTAAAAAATATTCTCCTGATATTCAGTTATTGAAAAAAAAAAATTGTAATGCTTTTTAAGAAATTTAAACATTATTATATATGTTATGTAATAATATCAAATTTGAATGTATAATAAAATAACATATGTACAAATATATTGGTTATTTATAAAATATATCTTTGTCTCTTATGTTAAACTTAATTTTTTAATATACAAGGTGATTGAAATCTGGCAAGACACTCATTTTCTCAGAAAATATTGAGAATTTTAAATTTTATTATAGAGAAAAAATATCAAGTTCAAAAAACTCTACTATAATATGTAGTCAAACCATTATTTTTTTCGTCCATTCAAGGAAAAAACCCTTATTTATAATTTTCTTAAATGAGAACCCTTTTTATTTTATATATTATAATTAAAACATAATTTCAAAATTGAAATTTTAAATTGATTGAATGTTTGGGTTTGTAAATTCTCATAAGCGGCATTAAATTTAAGAAAATAGCAATTTTCAGATTCAAAATGACAACTTTTTCACAAAAAATTTACTTTTTCAACTTAAATTTTCAAAGTGTTCCGGAAAGTCTAACACTTTAATATATATCTTAAATTAAAGTTAATGTAATGTACTTTATTATGCAAAAAAAAAAATTTCGTACTTTATTTTGTCTTCACGCTGAAAATAGCTACCGAATGCTATTATTGTGTGAAAATTCTCGATTTTATTTTTTGCATTTTTAACTTTATAATGCTATAACTTATTGAAAAGTGTATGGATCAATACAATTTTTTTATGAGAAATAATATTTTTTACTAATCTCTCTTTCATTCGACATACTTTATCTTAATCAGGATATTAATAAAGAACTAGCAGATCATGTAGCTTTTGGAATAATCTACCAATTTTTTAAAATTAAACACTATCTAAAGATTTGCATCCAAGCGTTATTTTTTTATAGTAATTTTAATCACTGTCAGATATCAGTATACTTGATCCAATTATGCCACTCCACCACTGTGCCGCGACACTCTTGTGCTGGGTTTTTATTATTGTAATATTGTAATATACAGTTCATTTATCTCTCAAAGTGGCTGTCTATCAATGCTTGCTGATGACGGTTTTGCTGAGTTATCCTACGATTTGTTGGGTTTGGTACAAAATCTATTGAGATATCATCCTGGGCTAATATTTCTTCCCATGGACTAGGTAATACCATTTCAAATCCACTGGAAACTTCTTCACCAACTCTTCGAGCAATGTTTGCAGCACTAATGTCGCAGTAATGATAAGGAACACTCGCATAAGTTTCACTCTTAATCCCAAAGCCATGATAGGAAACCTTCATTCCAAACTCTAAAGAATCTTTCAATAGGATTCGTTGTTCTGATTTGTGACTCATTGTATAATTGTTCTGCTAGGGTATGGCATTCTTGGAGTGGTGTCATTATGTAGCTAGCTGAAGCATAGCCACTATCTCCTACTAGTACTGCATCTCCATACACACCTTGTTCGAACAAAGCTCTTCTTCTAGACTCTCTAAATTCTGGAGTCATGCGTACTTCCATCATATCTTGCAACAATGTCCATTATATTGAGATTAGCGTCACATTATGCCTGAATATTCAAATATTGAATATTGAAAACCTAGTCTCAAGGAAATACCGATTATTTATTTTCGTAACATTGGCACGCTAGTTAAATATAAATTTATATAATTTTATTCAAAAAAATTAAAAATTTTTTTTTTAAGAAAACGTTTGATGTTTATTATATTATAATTATTAGAAAATTTGTATAAACAAAACAATTGTAAAAGCAATTATTTTATAAATAATTTGTTCTTCTTTTTCTAAATTAAAATTTTTAATTAAATTTAATACCTGAATTCGATAAACATGATTTAGTTCAGTTATGAATATGTAACGTGCTTTAAGATCTTCCATTAAAACTTAAAGGTGTCAACTAGCTTCAATCTCCCCTAATGAACTATTAATTAATCTTATATGGTCATTGTTATAACTTTAAGATATAAATATTATTAAATTTGGAGAAGTAGAAATTGTATTATCTTCAGCAAATTCCTCTCTATTAACAAGAAACGGATTTATAAATTTTATTTGAGCACTTGGAAGGAATTCAAGTTAATACTACTTTGTTATAGGTATACATTGTATCGTAGAAGTATAATTCGTATTGGGAAGTAAGCCCCTTATCTGTCATTATTATCCCAGTTACATATTATTTAGTTTTCAAATCAATCAATAAAAATTTGTACTAATTTTTGATGTGTTCAGATCAACTCAACATAACTTTATTATTACACAATCTTGTTAAAAGTATTTATAAAATGTTTTAAAATACATAATTGAATATTAATAATAAATAGTAATACAAATTAAAAAAAAAACAATTTTTTGTGTAAAATAATCAATATCTTAATTAACTAATTAGTTAATAAGTATAAGTATTTAATCATTCTTCTTTATAATAAAATTATTTTAATTTTTAAAAATAAGAAATACTACAATTGATCAATAAGAAAAAGGTTATATATTTATTCCATTAAAAATTTGAAACTTTAAACCATAAATATTTGGTGGTATTTTAAAAATATAACTTTTATAACATTTTCATCACTCAATTTTCATTGGAGAAGAAATGAATTTAGGTAAAATGGCATTGCTTAAACTGAATACCCATTCAATTGATGTACTATTAGGTAATGGTGTATTATTCAAAGTAATGATTATTTTTGTTGATCGGGAACAAAATATTAGGTATATTTTTTAACAAAGATTATAATTTTCATTATTAGAGAATCATAATGGTTATGCCAGTGTAGTAAATGTATACTACACTAAAATACATTTAATATCCTAAATACAAATACATTGTAAAAGTATTTAAAATATATTTACCTAAAATTATTTAAACACTAGTATTTGAATATTTTAACAATCCTATAATTACTTATAAATTATTTCTACCACTAATTATTCATAAAGATAATAATTTATACGATACATATTAATTATACATGATTTTACAACATTTTATTAAACAAATTGAATGTTTAACATTATGTCGACTTCTAAAAAATATTCTTGAAGTTGAAATTTTCATAAAAATGTTATATAGCTATATAAAATCTAATATATTTTAGTACTTCATTTGCTTTAGTATAGGAAAATAGTTTGAGCTATCTTCATATTACAGTATTTGTAAATTAAAAATAATATAATGAAATATGATGAATAACTTTTTTATGGAATTTATTTTATGATGTTAAAAATATATTATTTACAACTACTTCTATTGTTAACTTGATCAGATGGATTTAACATTTTTTTCAGGAAACTTTCAATTGGCAATAGACTTAAAAAAAATTGTTCGTTATTTTTTTTTTAAACGTTTTATCGAAAAGTTTAATGGAAAAACAGACGTATACCCTCTATTCACTAAGTTAAATCAATGAACTGGCGTAAACACTTCAACTTGTAGCTTTCTATTGAGGAAACTCGCGCAATCCATCCTTTGTAGGTCTTTAAGTATGCGTCAAAGTTCTGTAGATCGAGTCTTTCTTAAACTGTTAGAACCTCTACCAATTGTAAGTGCTTGAACGTGTTTTATTGCTCACAGTAAATATCGTCAACGTATTTTACTCTAAAAAGCTGCAAAGACCTTTTGGTACTATAACTCAAATGACCGCAAAAGGGTCGCAACGGATTTTCCGTAAGTCACCAATGTTGTTTGAAGGTGAAGTTTTGACTTACAAAAAATAAATAAACTACTCTCGATTTCTCCATTGTCGTTTCCATTGTTACCAATTTCTGCAAACTTGAAATTTTTTGAAAAT